GGTGCTACGCTGTCAGGTCTTGTCCCCAACCTTCAGACATGTTGGATGATACGCTGCAAGTTCTCGTCCTTGCCTTACAAAAACAAAAACCGCAACAGCAAAAACAAGATTAAGACTCTGGTCAAGATGGAGATTTTTCCTTCAACCAATCTATTGATGGTCGGCTTCAAAACTCCGCAGGGCCTGGTTTATAAGATCTGATATAGGTATGACGATGGAATTCAAACCTCCACCAGTTAGAATATACCCTTTTCATCAATGATGACATGCTCAATAAGCAAAGTTATAAGTTATAACACACTCAAAGATGTTATGACCCGCGAAACGGCGACTTACAAACCACGCTTGTTAATCACCTACTAAGGTAAACCATCATTAAACAACCCACAAAAATTTACTAAACAGGTAGAAACAGCTTTTATACCTATGTTTCAATCGGTGCTTGAAAAAAAGTAAAATCTACAAAACCACTTTTTTTCCAAGATGGCATGTCTCAAAGAGCTGCAAAGTGCCAAAGCGTCACAGAGCCGCGAAGTCTCAAAGCGCCAAGAAGCGCCAAAGCGTCAAAGAGCCGCAAAGCGCCAAAGGGCCAAGAGGCACCAAAGCATCAAGAGCGCCAAGCGCCAAAGCGTCAAAGCGTCAAAGAGCCGCAAAGCGCCAAAGGGCCAAGAGGCACCAAAGCATCAAGAGCGCCAAGCGCCAAAGCGCCAAAGCGCCAAAGCGCCAAAGCGCCAAAGCGCCAAAGCGCCAAAGCGCCAAAGCGCCAAAGCGCCAAAGCGCCAGCGCCAAAGCGCCAAGTGCCAAAGCGCCAAAGCGCGAAAGCATCCAAGCGTTCAGGCTTTGAGGCTTTGAGGCTTTGAGGCGTCGGAAAAGCGTCAAGAAGCGCCAAAGTGTGCAAGAGCCGCCAAGCGCCAAAGCGCCAAAGCGCCACAGCATCCAAGTGTTCAGGCTTTGAGGCTTTGAGGCTTTGAGGCGTCGGAAAAGCGCCAAGAAGCGCCAAAGCCTGAAAGAGCCGCCAAAGCGCCAAAGCGCCAAAGCATCCAAGCGTTCAGGCTTTGAGGCTTTGAGGCTTTGAAGCGTGAGGCGCCAAAGAGGCTTTGCAGCTTTGAGGCTTTGAGGCTTTGAGGCTTTGAGGCGTGAGGCGCCAGAGAGGCTTTGGAGCTTTGAGGCTTTGAGGCGTGAGGCGCCAAAGAGGCTTTGCAGCTTTGAGGCTTTGAAGCTTTGAGGCGTGAAGCGCCAAAGAGGCTTTGCAGCTTTGAGGCTTGGCAAACCTTAGCGGGCCTGATCCCCCATACTCTGCATAATTAAGTATATCAGCATGCGCATGTGAACACAACAGAATCACTGAACTGCTTGCAACACGGATACAGAAACAAATACATAATAAGGACATAGGTATGAACTACTTGCACACACACATATCTATATCTATATCTATATCTATATCTATACATATACATATACACATACAAATACAAATACACATGTATCATACATGCATACATGACATGAACATCTTCATCCCATGTGCACCATGTGAAAAGATGGATTATATACCCAGATTGGGGGATGGTCGTCAATACATTTATAGTGACATATAGTGATATATATATATATATATCCTCATTGCAAGGATTCTCAGGGCTGGATGACCATGAAAACATTCATCCCATGTAGCTTGACGGCACAAAAATGCCAGGACCTCTTGAAAAAGTTTGGTGATGTGGCCAGAGACTCAGCAGTCCCAAAATGGATGGTCTCTGGATGTGTTTTTGTCGGGTTGGCCTCCAGTAAACGAAAAATAGATATGGAAAAACAGTTCTTCCGAGGACACATATCTACAAATGGTGGGTGGTTCTTTCATATCTAAGTTCATTGACTGGAGGGCAATGGGAAATAATACGATGAGAAAATTTACTATGACCCTATGTCGATCAACGTTATGGCATTGTGGGCCAAAATATAATGGGTTTCTGGTTTGTAGGACACCTATAATGATTTCTGGGCAAGTTTCGGAAACAAGCCTGGATAGTGTCAGCTGCCCAGGGCGGCTACTTGGTGGGAAGCATGATCGATTTTGGGGCAATATGATACAAAATGTACAATTTACTGTTGATTATGTGTATATATATATATATATCTATCTAAATTATCGAAGGAAGTTTAGAAGTCAAACTTCCGACAATATGGACAGATGAAAAGCAGAGATGGGAAGAGTCAGAGAAGAGAAGAGAAGAATAAAGAATATCAAAAAAGAGAAAGTCTCAGAAGAAAGAAGATCCAGGTGCGCGAAAAGGTAGGAAAGTCGCGAAACACTGTGTTTTTCTTAGTACGAGGCCGTCAGCTCTGCACTCAACTTTCCATTTTTGAAGGAAGTCTCGCAGAATTGTTCCCCACATCTTTGTGTGGGGTTCTTGTTTTTGGTTCTGCACTCCCGCCTCCGGCCCTCCTCCTCCTCCTCCTCCCGCCTCCTCCTACAACTTGCCCACACACAACTTGTCCACACACAACTTGCTCACACACAACTTGTCCACACACAACTTGTCCACACACAACTTGTCCATGCACAACTTGTCCACACACAACTGTCTACACATAACTTGTCCACACACAACTTGCTCACACACAACTTGCTCACACAACTTACTCACACACACACACAACTTGTCCACACACAACTTGCTCACACACAACTTGTACACGCACGACTTGCTCACCTGCGTGGCAGGCGTGGCACTTGGTGACATCGACCGTCACTGTGCGTGGCAGGCGTGGCACTGATGGCACTGGGCTGGCTCTGGTGGCGCGCTTGGTTCCCAGATGACGCCGTGGACGCCGCGGCTTTTTGCGTGGCAGGCGTGGCACTCGGCGGAAAAGAAAACATGAAGATGAAGATGTCACTGAAGATGTCCCGGTGGCCGCTGAGGGCAGGAGTAGTGGCAAAACAACTTCAGAGCTGCAGTTTCATTGGTCACATGGAGAAGGCTTGCATCCTGGAAATTCCCTTGGTAGTGGGACCTACGGAACAGTCTTCTCGGCCAAGTTTCTCGGCATGTGCTTCGCAGTGAAGGTGCCACGCAAGACCCCGCTCAATTTGAGTGAGGCAGAAGTAGCGGCAGGAGCAAATGCAGGAGCATCTCCCATGGTACTGCGAGATGTAGCCCGGGAATTGCTTGGTGGCCACCCCAATGTGGTAAAGGCATATGCTGTTTTGACTTCTACCAGTGGGCAGCCCGGCCTCGTGATGGAGGCAGCAGAGAGCAGCTTTGATGAATGGATGCGCGTTGCCAAGCTGCCGTCCTCGCCAACGCCAGCAGCCAATGAGATATGGCTACGTCTTGGGCAGATCTTGCATGGTCTGACATATCTCCATGCCAAATGTATCTTACATTGCGACCTCAAAGAGTCCAACCTTTTGTGTTTACCACAAGGTCGCATGGCCCTAGCAGACTTGGGAATCTCCAGGTGGCTGACGGAGGACTCCGTCATTTGCAGAGGAAATGAAATCTATACTTTGGATTATCGCCATGTGGAAGCATTGCACGCGCGTGCGTCCAAGGCTGGGACGGCTTCTGGTTTTTTTCCTTTGCAATTTTTCCGCAAAGACTTTGCGCATGTTGTTTCCTGGCTTGCGGGGACCAACAACGACAAAAAACTTTAGCCGGAGCCAAGGTTTGTTTCGTTCGTAGGTGGTTCAAAACAGGTGACAACATGTTCCAAGTTCATGTCTAGCTGCGTTTCTTCCAGGTGAAGCTCCTGAAGTCTGCTGATGTTTGGGCTTTCGGCATCATTGTATGGAAAATGTTCGCAGATTCTCGAGTCAACTTTTGGAAAGAAGACCCGAGAACATTGTGTGGTGCCCATTTCCAGCTTACCTGGGAGAGGACACATGCCTATGTCCTTGGTCGCCTTGCTAGCTACTTGCCGGCCACATCAAAACGATTCGCCAAGAAGATTGTTACGGAGTGCCTATGCCCTTCAGATACAAGATCCGGCACCTTGTTCCTCTGGAAGCAAATCCGTGAGGTGTGTGGGCAAGCCTAATGGCAAGCCTTGTTCATGGGGAATTTGAAACACGCACAAGCTGCGTGACTTAGTGATGGTCTGCAATGACTTAACTTCGGGTCTGCAGAGTATGAAAAAAGACGGTAAAAGTGCCGTTTGTGGTTGCTTGCTTGCGTGTGAAGCTGACAGCAGCGGTGCAGGGCAGAAATGTCTTGTGCAGGGCAGAAATGTCTTGTTCATTTCACATGGTCACAGCATGACAGACTTTCTTTGGAAAGCCGGTTAGGAGTGTCACCTGGTGTTTATGGGGGTGGCTCGGGCTGTATGCTCCGCCGTGCGCCAGGTTCTTTTTCTGCAAGGCTGCGGGGTGGAAGGTGGCAGCGCTGGTGGTAGCTTCATGTTCAAGTTCTGCCAGCAAGCAGGGGTCGGATGTTGTTTGGCAGGTTGCAAAGTAGACTTTAATGTTGCACGATGTTGCACGAAACATTTTTTCCGGCAAAATTTAGCTTGTCCCCTGTGACATGTTGCCGTAGTCGCACTGAAAGCAGCGTGAAAAGCGTCTGCTGCTGTGGCTCCAGCCACTGCTCCCTCCACTGCTCCACCCCTGCCTCTCCTCGAGCCTCGCACCCATGGCAGAATCTGTCGTTTCGCTTGGCGTTGTGGCTGTGTGCGAGACCCACTTTCAAGAGATAGCAGGCAGTCCTGACAAGGAGAGGACAATCTTTCATGCAAACCCTCCTCGGAGTTCTGGGGTGGGCACAGTGGCTTCCGCAGAACATCTTTGCCAAAGCGCTGCACGCTAGCAGCAAGAGAAAAGAGAGAGAGCGGGAGAGAGAGAGAGACGGACGGACGGACAGACAGACAGAGAGAGACTCAGAGAGAGAGAGCTAGTAGATTTATTGCCATTGCAGTTTTCGTTAACTCCTGACGGGGGACTTCGGGTGTCTTGCGACCTTCCAGTTTCAAAAGCCTTGACTAAAGCCTTGCAGGAGGCCATGATCATGAAGCGCATCTTCACTAGCAGTAGCTCTGATGTTTCATCAGCTTTGGAACATCTGAGATCTCGGGCCCACATGCTTGGAACATCGCTTTCCGATCCTGACCATATCCGGCGGAAAAATCCTGATGCGCTGACCAGGGCCTCGATGAACCCCGGGAATTACTTCAGGCTGATCACTGCGCGCTCGGAATTGAAAGAGTTTCAGAGCATGTTGAAGAGCAACCAAGTGAAAGAACGGACAGGGTCGGCTGGCTATGAGATTTCTTCCTTTGATGTGATGCATGAAAGATGGTCATTGTGCCTCACGCAGACGGTGAAGCTGATGAGGTCCGAGTACAAAGAACACATGTGCATCAAACACAAAAATGCAGATCCCAACCAAGCCACATGGAAGTTGTATCTCCCACTGGCAGAGGGATGTGCTTTCAATGGGCCGGAGGAGTTCTTTCGTTCTGGCCACCACAGCCGTCTGTGGACTTTGGTCAAGAAGCATCTGAGCCCAAGCTTTGTTAATTTGTCCTGTCGGTTTTGTTTGCGAAACATTCCACCACCAGTAACATGGACGTTTAGCTGTGACATCTTCTATTGCTTACGATAGAAAAACAGCATTCGCAAAATCCGCATTGCCACTGGCCAGGCACAGCGGCAAAGGATGGTTGTCGCTGCCAGACAATGCCTTGCCTTTCTAACGGTGCTTCCACTCATAGCCACGTTCTAGTGATCAAAATGCCAGCCCTTTTGGGAACCAGCTTGAATCATGTGGCCGGGCTTGCTTCAGTTTGGTATTGGAACTTGGAGCGGGCGGAGTTTTCCATGGGATATGACCGCATGGAGTTTCGCTTGATGGAGTACAAACTGACTACGGAGGTCATGCCAGATTCTTGCACAGTCCCGGACATCGCGGCGCGCAAACGTGCTGCGGAGCAAGGATTGGAGAAGTGGAGGCCAAGATTCGGGGGAGCCATGCAACCTTTCCAGTATTTGGTGTTGGTGTGCAAGCCTGGAAATTTAAAACGATAAGCGACATGTGATGGTTAATTTGATGGTGTTTGATCACTTGTTATGCAGAAGGACTGTAGAAGGCCCTTACCATGTGCCCAGCGCACTGACGGCTGCTTCTGGTTAGCGTAAGAGGGCTGGCGTGCATTGCGCTTTCATGTGACTGCCCATGTCGAATTCTTATGTTCTGTTGTAAGCCACCTCTTTGCATTGCACGCTCTTGCGCGCGAGGCTGTTTGAAGAGTTGGAGTACCACCAGGGCGAGGTGAAGCACATCAAGTTAGCCATGCGTCACATGGGCGAGCAGAGGGCGAACTCTGAGCCGAGTCCCCAACGCACTGCTGAGCCTGCCAGGTCTTCCTTTACGACTTCCGAAGACGAAGTCGATGACAATGAATTTCTCCCATTGGTACTCTCATTGGTGTGAGTGGCTAGTTTTGGGAAAGGTCGCGTGATGCCAATTGTGAAAGGAATTGTTGACTACAGGGTTCGCCCACATGGGCCATACTATGGGCCATTTGGGCTCGCTTTTGGGTTCTTGTTTCCTTTTTTGTTATGAATGGGCGTTTGGCATCCACGACCCAGCATTGCCACTAACGATATTGTGCGACAAAACGGCACGGCATTGTGTTTTGATTCTGATCTTATTTGATAACTTGGGGCAGAAATTGTCCAACCTACAAAGCTTTGTTTGACGCATGACCTGACCTGCGCGCCAGGTGTTTGGCGCTGTGTATGCCTTCGCTCGGCTCCTTGCCGCTTTCCTGGAAGATCTTAAAAGGCGATGGGCTGCGCCGGAGGGAATCAGTTTTCGTTCGCAGCACTGTGCGCAGCATGGGGCAGAAATGTCTCATGCTTGTCAGCTGCTTCTGGAGGTATGGAGTTATTGACCAGCATTGAAACAACCCTCAGTGGCGGTTCGGGCATCAAGAGTGGTGTGGGTGGCCCTGCTGTTGGTGGCAGTTGACGGCGGTGCTGGTAGGGCTTGCAATGTTTTTGATTATGCTTTTGGGAATTAGCGATGACAACCAATATGGAACAGTTTACAATGGTATTACAATGGTAATTAGTAATGCTGATTAGTTCACCAGGTTTCGATAATCATCATCAACTATGATTAAAACTGTTATAAATATTGATTCAGAAAGATTCCTGTAGTAATGAATGATTGATAGAAGTCATGTTTTACTTCATTTTTTATAATTTGCTTTTTAGTGATGGTTAACGAATGTTGTGGAACCCCTACCATAAGGGAGCGCCATCTATGTTGCAGAAAACGATTCCTGGAAACTAATAGCTTCGCCCAATCCTGGCAGGGGATGTTCAGATCAGTTTCCGGTCCACTGCTGCCGGTGCTGCTCGCTGCCAGTGCAACAGGTGGGAGCATCAGCCTGGAACTCAGCCTGGATACAAGCAAGCTGTGGAAACGTTCATTTGGAGACACGTTGGAGACACGTTGGGGCTTGCTCTATCCTCTTGCAAGCCAACAAAGGGAGAAATTCAACACTCCACACACCAAGATTGCTTCAGAGTCGGTGCAATGTGCAATATCATGTCAGATTCTCTCAAAAGATAGAAAAGCTTAATTTCTTTACCTGTGTACCAGGTTCAGTGTTTATGATCCTTTTCACTGGCTGCTGAGTCGTTTGATCCGACTCCAACTGCGCCAGGTGTGCAATTGGTCCAACATCATCATCTCGAATTTCCGCGAAGATTTCGCAGGACTCGTCCACTGAACTGACACGAGCACCATACCGAAACTGCGCGGGCGGACTTTGGGCCTTCCCAGAATCTTTATGGTTTAACCAAGTTTAATCTTTCAACGTGACAATATTTTATGACATCACTTCTCGACGTCTCAACGACCATCAGTTTGTCGATCCTTCACCTGGGAGGTTTGATGTCGAACATGGTCACGGAAGAGTTTTCCGATGCTCCTCGACAGACCAATGGGTGGTGATTTCCACTTCTTGAAAGCAGGTACCGTAGCATGATGTTATATCTATAGTCAATGTTAATGGATGTTAATGATAGTCAGTGGATGTGAATGGATGATGTATACTATGTAATCTAACAAGTATCAGGACGATATGCTTGGAAATTCAAACTTCAATATAATAAGGATCAGGATCACCATGATGGCTGTTTTATCTAAATGTCCTTCCTTGCAGCACGCATCCAGAGATCTAAGCTGAGGTGCCCCAAAACCTGCTACAACATTTCAGCATCGACCGTCAGATTCATTCAAAGAAACGACTATGGGTTTTGCATCGTTTGGCGAGCTGCTATATGAATAGGTATATGAAGAGATATATCAGAAAATAGATCCATAAAGGATCGCTTTTCCATAGCTGTGTAAGATGTCAGAAATGAATCCCCAGATGATGTAAGAAATGACGCCCCATGAAGATTCCTTTCTTTTTTGATGTTTTTTTTTTTCCCGGCATCCTTGGGGGGCACTGCTTGGGGAAGCCTGGCCAGCTGGAGGCCATACCTAGTGGAGGTGTCCATGACTCCAAATAGCTTCAGTCGTCTGTGGCTTGGCGAAGATCTTCCTGCGGCAGGGCCATGGATTCCATGGGGATTCCTGGGAGTTTATGGTGGTTCAATGGGACTTGAATGGAATTCTCATGCTGGTGAATGAGATTTGACTGGGATTGAATGGGAATGAATGGGATTCAATCAGTGGGTCATGCCTATTCACTACTATTGTTGATTGGTTATATATCCCAGGTATAGCCCGATGATGTACATGATAATCCCATATACGATATCCGTATTCAAACCCCAGTGAAATTCCCATTGCTGCAGAATCCCACACAGTCATCGGACAAAAATGCCTCAGCAAATAAAATCGAATAACATCTCTGATTTGAACATGAATTGTCATGCCTTTATCGCAATCAACCACCATAAATCACCAGCGTATCTCTGCAGGTTGGAAGCCTGCTTTTTATAGGGATGACTCATGGATATCAATCTTGATCTAACACCTTGGCAATCAGAATTCAGCAATGCATAAGACCTCAATTAAAACCTTGGTTCGTAGAAATGCGGCAATGGTATAAAACTTCGGCGCGTAGAAATTTTGCATGCTAACAAACTCCAAAGGGCAGAAATTCGGCATGCTATAAACCCTCGGCGAATGTACCGTTTAGGTCCACTTTTCCTAAGGACCTATTTTTTTAAGGTCCTAAGACTTTAATACTTTTAGGGGGTTGAAAAGAGAAATAAACAGAGAGGAGCCCAGAAAAGAGTTGAAACAGGCCGAAAATGGCGGGGAGGTTTGGAGCGCTTAAGTCCCAGGGACTTAAGCACGCCGAACGGGCCGGAGGCACGTATGGAACGGTTTCTGAGGGGTAGAAGCGCCCTAGTAAAGCCAGGAGCGCCCGCGGAGAGGTTTGGAGCGCATACCGTTCGGCGTGCTTAAGTCCCAGCGATTTAAACCTCTCCGCGGGCGCTCCTGGCTTTACTGGGGCGCTTCTACCCCTCAGAAACCGTTCCATACGTGCCTCCGGCCCGTTCGGCGTGCTTAAGTCCCTGGGACTTAAGCGCTCGAAACCTCCCCGCCATTTTCGGCCTGTTTCAACTCCGCCCTGGGTCCTTCTCTACTTCCTTCTCTTTCCTAATCTCTTTCCTAAGGATCAATTGCGCTGCTGCCTGTTTTTTTCTTCTTGTGCACCTCTGTCTCTCCCTCTCTCTCTCTCTCTTTTTCTCTTTCACCTAGAGTCACTCTTGTGAGCCCTTCTGTCTTTCTCCAGAGCATGCTAGTTTAAGGTGGATGAAACAATACGGACCCTGAAGTTACCATGAAGCCATAGACGTTTTAAATTAGGTTGCGAAAGTCAATTTGAAGTTTTGGCAATTGACTTTAAATTATTCTATTACTTGAGTGATAACTCTAATTAATCATTCTATGTACATTTAGCTCAATCGCTTGACTATCTCCAGACTTTTGTTCTCCAATGCCGCGCTGCGATGCATGCCATACAACAGCAGTTGGAAAACATGGCACATTGATTTGAAAGTCATGTTCTGGTTACAAATTGTACACGCCAGTCTGGGGGTGGAGCTGAATGGATTGGACCGTTTGGATGGTCTTCTTTTTACAATGCGGCATGAGCCAGGGATTTTCGAATGGAATCACTTTTGGCAGCTTTGAAAGGTTTTCAGCGTGCATGCTGAAATGATGCAGTGTTTTCGTTTGCGACGTTTGGCGTATTGCGTATGTTTATATGTTTTTGATATACAATCCTCTGCCTCCCCTTTTGTATGTATATGTGATTACCATATATAGATATTCCCTTTACTATTCCGTTTCTCGGAGGTTTTCCCATTCGGGGATCTAAACCTAACTTGGTTGAGCGAGAGTTTATTAGGGGGAGAAATGCCCAACTTACAAAGCTTCATTTGACGCGTGACCTTCACTGCACACCAGGCGTTTGGCGGTGTGCATGCCTTCTTTGCTGCTTTCCGCTTTCCTGAGAGGATCTTCAAAGGCGACCCGCGCCGCCGGAGAAATTCAGCTTTCGTTTGCAGCATGAAGCAGAAGTGTCCCAGAGCGCACTCTATCTTGTAGGTCAGGTCTTGGTGAATCGCAACGCGGGCTCACGAATACTCGCTAAGATAAATGCTAAGATATCTGCCGGTTGCATCGTAAAACTGCATCTTTGTCTTTCTTTCTCCCTCCATCGCAAAACTGCTCTTGCCTTTCATCCATCGCCCTGATATGCTTTAAGTGTTTTCGACCGCATTTTGAGCTGGTTCAGAAACACATTCAGAAACACTCCAGAAACATGACTCAGGGCGGCATGCATCCTGATGCGTTTGCAGGGTGGCTCCATGGCGGCGGCATGTCAAGTGGCGTGCTTTCAGACAAGAAGTACCGCGCTTGGCTCAAAAGCGCTGAATGCAAATCACGTGGGGAGAGTGGCGGTGGTGCTGCCACTGGTCTGAGCGATGTGCTTCCAGACATGTCATGCTCCGCAGGCTGGCGGAGTTGCGGTGCAATCAATTTTGAAGAAATCAGCACTCGTGCTGCAGGCAGGGCCTCTCCACAGGCCTCACCCACAAACATTCTCTTGTTATATTTTTTTCCAAAACAATGTTTGACAGCAGTCGTGTCCAGCTTCGACACCTCCCTGCCCCATCCCTGCCCATTGTTGAATTTACCGGCCTGGAAGGACAAAAGATGGTTGGGCGAGATCCTGTTGAGGCCGTGCTCAGGTGTGCACTCTGCCGGCTGGAAGTATGAGTTCGTGTCAGGGCAGCAGAGATGCCTCACAGTGCATGCTTTGGCGCGATATTATTTTGAATCGAACCAAGGCCTGCTTTTGGATGTTCCATGAACATGTCAAGTCGCTGTGCTAGTCACGGTTGGACTGTTCACTTCGTGATTAAACCCATCATGTCAGCAAAAAACCTTGC